GCCGACACAACAGGTCGGCATGTCTGGCCTTGATCCTAAATGCTTGAGGCAGGTGCAGCTTGACTATGCCAGGACGGATCCGTGTTTGTGGGGCTGCTTGCCTACTTTCACGCATCTTTCTAGAGAATTCCAGAAACTGCAACTCAGCACCTGTGGAGGCAAAATACAATGCTTCATTACCCTGGTGTCGCTCGCTGCTATGAGGTAGAGTTCCAGGCCCGGCTTGCCAATACGGGCCGCATCAAGTGCCAAGGAAAGCCTTTGTTCAAATGTTCAAATGTGCCCAACAGAAAAATCAAGTGTACACGTACTATATTCCTTACCGGGATCCAAGTTCGAAAAAGAAGCGTTGCAGGCTTGCTCCATGTCAAGCGCAGCGTCGCCTGGTAGGCCGCCATTTCAGACGCTATCAACTTGTTTGCCTGGAGAGTCTTCTCCAGCGCACGTGCTGAAGCTGCCACAGTTGGCTGCTGGCCATTGGCGGCTGACCGCAACGCCCATTGCTTGACGTGCGGGTCCACCCGCCTTCGCTTGCATGCGCCGCCTGGGACGCTGGTCACCTCGGCCTCCGCCGACTTGTGCCACGTGAGATCGCCCCATCTCTCTGCTTCTTCTTCCACGGTATGTGACAAAGCGGTGACGATTTCCGAAAGCCAATGGCGAATGGCCGGGCATTCTACATGCTGGTACAACTGCCGCATCTGCTTCCACAGGCACAGCTGCGGGGGACCATCCGCGATGGCGTTGCTAGCAAGTCGTGCTGCCTCTTGGAAGCAAGGGCACTTCCCCTGCAGTTTGGGCTCCCTGGCACACTGGCCCATGCTACTGGCGTTTGGCTGGAGGGGCTGAAGATCCAATGCTGCAGGCAAGCATGCCTGGAAAAAATGCCCGGCAGCGCTGTCCGCGAGCAGGCGATTGTGCATGTTTTTTCCTGAATTTAACAGCAATAGGCTGGGAAGACACTTGAATGCTGCTGGTTAGAATATCCGAGATATGCTATTGTAAAAAGAAACATGTAACACTTGTATGGGAGGTCTCGGGAAGTCAAGGCAACTGAACTAAACCTCAGAAGAAAAAAACGGATGCACGAAAATGTCGGCAAGGATTCCAAACGCTTGGGCCAAGCTCCCGCCATGAAGGGACCCCGAACACTTCAATGGAAGGGTTGGGACTGCGCTCGCGAGAGCAACTAGTGCCTAAACGCAACTCTTGGCCCCAAGCGCTATAAACTCTGAGAAGTGATAACTTCGATTGAAGATCAACGCCGCAATCGGTGAACTTACGCGACCTTACCGAAAGGACTGGCAGGCCAAGTCGCGCTTCGAAGACCAAGCAAGAAGCAAACATACTAGTCCTGTTGTGGTGACCCAGTGCTCCTGCTCGGCATCTGACGTGTCTGCTGCTTGATTCCTCAGTGCTGCGCCTGATTGGTCCATGTGCTCATCGGGGTTCGCGAGAACAGACACTGAGTTTCTCCAAGATTGCCAATTTCTCACGAAGACACGCCAGGGCTGTTCTGCGCGCGGCCCAGTTTCAAGCCAGCCTAGGTTTCCCACCAGTCGTCGCAACTCCCACCGAAGCTCACCGTCGGAGCCTTCACGGGTTGCAAGGATCCAGCTGCTACGGCTACTATGATCTCATCCCTAAAGGCCGAGGTAAACCTCACCTAGCAAACCTTGTCACATTGTGCTCATAGGGCCCTGCTTGTTTTTGAAGAGTTCCAACCTGCACTGCTCGGGAACGCCTTCCAGTGGCAGCTTTCCACATGTCCAGATGGCAGCATCGCTCTGAACCGCAACATCAAACCCAAGGAAAAATCAGCCATTGTGCGGGCCGCTGGGCGGCTGGGCTCTCGGTGACCAATGTGGTCTAATAAGAATACTGGATGGTGGACGGACACTGTGTTTCTACGATACTATAGTGTATATAACATTATGACTATACTAACTACATGGTTATACGTGGTATAACAGAGCAAAGGATGGCCTTGCAAGATCACACAACAATGTATAACTTGTGTAACATACGATGCTATATTCTGGGCCTGTGCGCAGCCAGCAACGGCAAGGTTGACCAAGGGGACCTTTCCGAAGGGGACCTGTTGGCCGACTCCGACCTAAACCCCTATACCCTAAACCCTAAACCCTAAACCCTAGCCCTACACCCTAAACCCTACACCCTGAACCCTAAACTCTAAACCCGCCGTCCTCTGGATCCAGGGGCTTCAAATCTTTCAACGAGGGGGACCACCTGGCTAGGTGCAGTGGGATCGATAGATGTCAGGGGTTGAGGGTTTAGGGTTTAGGGTTTAGGGTTTGGGGTTTAGGGTTTGGTGAAAGGCCTTGCAGAGCCCTAAATCAAAAATCTAGGTTCCTTTCTAACTCCTTCATAAAAAAAGGGTATCCTTTTTCTTGCCATTAAGATTTACTACGGAACCCCAAAACAAAAAGGGAAAAGGGAATAAGGAGTACTACAGGAGGACCCAGAATTGCTACTATAGGGGCTTTAAGAATTTGACACAGGGTTTTGGGCTGTTTTGATAGTATAAATACATAGGAAGGATAAGAGAATACTATTTGTAGTTATTCCGACCCCCTATAGTATGCCTTCCTCCTTTCTTGGGGCTGGTGGCCCCATTGCTGAGCTTTAACTTCTGAGCCGGTGAGTGAGGGGAAGGGCCAGAGTGTGCAGACTATCAGCTCACTACGCATGGAGGACCACTTTGCAGTTCCTCCTGTTTAGGGTTTAGGGTTTAGGGTTTAGGGTTTAGGGTTTAGGGTTTAGGGTTTAGGGTTTAGGGTTTAGGGTTTAGGGTTTAGGGTTTAGGGTTTAGGGTTTAGGGCTTAGGGCTTAGGGCTTAACTCAGAAAGATGGGAAAGCCTCAAGACAACTGACTGTCAAGCCTATTGGTTGCAGTTGCAAGCGGGTTTCAGGGCTGAGTGCCCCGGGCAAAGGCTCTGAGTATGGGGTCGCTAGGACTTAGATCAGAAAGTCAGAAAGACCGACCCAAGACCCTCAGCCACACACTGCGAAACCCTAGGGCCCTAAACTCTGAGTCCTACCTAAACCCTAAACCCTAAACCCCCAACTTTAAACCCTAAACCCCAAACTCTAAACCCTAAACCTCAAACTCTTCACCCAAGACCCCTAAACTCCATACTGGCACCAGCCACTTCAGCACTTGACAGACCTCGAGCGCCTTCCAGCTTTTTTTAGATACTTTTCATGGTACTTTTTAACCAAGTATAACTGTGCTGATAACCCACTTCTAAGCCCCTTAAGTGCCCTGATATGGCAATAAGTACAGTTCGAAGTACCATAAACCCTAAACCCCATTGGTTAACAAGTTACCATGAACCTCCAAGTATGAGATAAGGGCAACTCGGGCCCAGGCATCTCGAAGCAAGTCCTGCCCACATCTCATAGCTTCCCCTACTACCCCCCCCCCCCCTCCCTCTAGACTACCCCCTCAACACTTATCCCCCTGGCGTTTAGGGTTTAGGGTTTAGGGTTTAGGGCTACCCCCTAGGTTCCCCCATTTAAGGGGGGAACCCAGGGGTTTTTTGAGGGTTTAGGGGTTCCCTAAACCCAAAACCCAAAACCCTGAACCCTAAACCCAGGGGGGTAGGGAAACCCATGAACGTGCGGGTCACGGCACGACGTTGAAGGGTGGATGGCAAGGTGCGGGCTACGGAGGCAGGGGGTGAAGGAGCAGAGCCCTAAACCCTGAACCCTGAACCCTCTAAACCCTAAACCCTAAACCCTAAACCCCAAACCCTAAACCCTAAACCCTAAGCCCGAGACTTGCTTGTTGGTCCTCTCCGAAGGATCCACGACGGCCTGCGAGGCGTGACTTGATGATTTCGTAGAGGTTTTGGTGGGGCTGGTTGGCGTTTGGGGCTTGGGGTTTGGGGTTTAGGGTTTGAGGTTTAGGGTTTAGGGTGTAGGGTTAAGGGTTCAGAGTTTAGGCACCACGTCCCTACCCCGTGCCCCTCGTCTTGTCCCGGCCTTTTCTAGGAAGCGCCTCCTGGATGACGCTGTATAAAGTAGGTCCTAAACCTAAACTCTAAAACAAGAACTCCAACCTCTAAATTTTCTCCATGCTTCTTGGAGCCTTCTTTTTGTTTTTGTTTTCAAGCTCTTCTGCCAACTTCCGTCCGAAATTGTCCTCCTCCGAGCGCCGTTGGCCCGGGAGGAGGAAGCACCGAAACCCACCAAACCCTAAACCGTAAACCTTAAACTTAACTTTAAACCCTAAACCCTATAAACCCTAAACCCTAATTAAACCCTATAACTTAACTTTAAACCCTAAACCCTATAAACCCTAAACCCTAATTAAACCTTGCCATAAACTCTAGACTCTAACCCCTAAACAGCCTATAGCGATACCCTCTTCTGCTGAGATTTAAAAAGCCCGAACAAGATGTTATTCGCTTAATGTTAGCCTATGTTGAGGAAGTTCAACTACGCAACAGGGTGCAGGACTTCATAAGCCTAACATTCTACATATAGCCTGTCCACCCACCCAAGTTTATTTCTTGAACAGCCCAAAACCCCACCCTAAACCCTAAACCCTAAACCCTAAACCCTAAACCCTAAACCCTAAACCCTAAACCCTAAACCCTAAACCCTAAACCCTAAACCCTAAACCCTAAACCCTAAACCCTAAACCCTAAACCCTAAACCCTAAACCCTAAACCCTAAACCCTAAACCCTAAACCCTAAACCCTAAACCCTAAACCCTAAACCCTAAACCCTAAACCCTAAACCCTAAACCCTAACCGGAAGGGCGTTTAAGGGTGGCGAGGCCTGCAGAGCCCTGGCCCCACAACACAAGGCCGGGAGAGCCTCTCCGGGGGAGGATGTCGCCTAAACCCTAAACCCTAAACCCTAAACCCTAAGCCCTAAGCCCTAAGCCCTAAACCCTAAACCCTACACCCTAAACCCTAAACCCTAAACCCTAAACCCAAACTCCTGATTCAGAGTCGGCTCTGGCTGGCTCAGACTTCCTTGAGCTCCGCAGCTCTGGCAACAGTGCGGGCGAGGATGTACCTGTTTTGGGGACTTTGGGTGGGCTTGAATTCATTCATTGTCTTTTTACAGGCTATTTCTATTTCTAAGTAGATGTTGAAATGTTACTATGCAAGGTTTATTTCTTTCTTTATTTGTGTTTGCTCTTGTTGGGTGGGGAGGGGGGGGGAGGTTGGGGTCGGGTAGGAGGGGTTATGGGGTTATGCTGTTGGAGTCTAAGGCTACAGGTCTGGCTAAGTGTTGCTCTGAACCCTCAAACTTCCAAACCCTGAGCCGCATGCAACAAAAACAACCAACGATTCTAGGCCTTAAGAGCAGTGTGTATAGCGTGTAGGGTTTAGGGTTTGAAGCCCGCAACACTCCAAACCCAAGCCGCACCCCAAACCCCAAACCCCAAACCCTAAACCCCAAACCCCAAACCCCAAACCCCAAACCCCAAACCCCAAACCCTAAACCCTAAACCCTAACCCTAACCCTAAACCCTAAACCCTAAACCCTAAACCCTAAACCCTAAACCCTAAACCCTAAACACTAAACGGGGCGCCAGTAAGCCGAGTCAGACTCCAGCTTCTCTCGAAAGGCCAGCTTCCACATGGGAGTCTCGGAGTCCTCTTCGACCTTTTTTGTTGGTTTAGGGTTTAGGGTTTAGGGTTTAGGGTTTAGGGTTTAGGGTTTAGGGTTTAGGGTTTAGGGTTTAGGGTTTAGGGTTTAGGGTTTAGGGTTTAGGGTTTAGGGTTTAGGGTTAGGGTTTAGGGATTAGGGTTTAGGGCTGTTTTGAGGCTTTTGCAGGGTTTTTTGTGTGGCTTCTGAAGGGTTTCAGAGGGTGGAATCAGGCTGCTGCAGGGGTTTATGGGGTCCAAGGTGGTGCTTTCTATGAAGGATGTGTGTGGGGGTTTTGGGGTTCAGGGTTGACAGGGTTTAGGGGGTTTGGCCTTCAGGGATGTTGAACCCTACACACTACACCCGAAACTTCAAGTTATCTTCTTTTTTTGTTTTTTTTTTTTTTTTGGGGGGGGGGGGAGCGGGGGCGCTTGTGGGATTGATTTCGGGATTTGAAAGTTTAGGGTTTAGGGTTTAGGGGAGTTGGGGGCATTTGGGCTTAGAGGTGCTTTACCCCTTTTCTTGTTGTTGGTTAGTAGGGAATGAGGGAATGAGGGTACCATATCCCCTAAAAATACCCTTATAGGTTTAGGGTTTAGGGCTAAGGTTTAGGGTGGACAAGCAGCTTCCGAGATCAGCTGCTGGGAGGGAGGCGCAAGGAGATCCTCTCCAAAGTGGGGGCTGGGGGGTTTAGGGTTTAGGGTTTAGGGTTTAGGGTTTAGGGATCAGGGTGTTTTTTCGGCCCTCCAGAATTTAGGGTTTCGGGTTTAATTCGGGTTTAGGCTTTGAGGTTTCGGGTTGAAACTGAAGAAGCCGTCCTCTTCCTGAATATTCCAAGAACCGCGGGTAGGTACCCAGGAACCTTTTGGGAAGCTTAGGGAGCCCCCTCCCTTGAAGGGACCCTGACCCTAAAGCCCCAAGCCCGAAACAAACAGGTCCTAAAGCCCTAAACCCCTAAACCCTAAACCCCTAACCCCTAAACCCTAAACTCTAAACCCTAAACCCTAAACCCTAAACCCTACCCTAAACCCTAAACCCTGTAAACCCTAAACCTTGCAACTCTAGCGCCATGAGGCCAATGAGGCCCTACGGCCCTACAAGGCCTTAAAACCCCTCAAAGCACCCCACTTCGGAACCCTGTTCTACAAGGGCTTTGGGGGTTTAAGTTTCAAGGCCTTAGGGTTCCAAAACCCAAACCCTAAACCCTAAACCCTAAACCCTAAACCCTAAACCCTAAACCCTAAACCCTAAACCCTAAACCCTAAACCCTAAACCCTAAACCCTAAACCCTAAACCCTAAACCCACAGACATCAACCTTTCCAGTCTCCCTTTCCGACGCCAGAAAAACAACTGCTTTGGTGTTTCAGGATTTTGGAGCTTCGTGTCTTTTACCACAACCCCCGAGTCCTGCCCTGAGTCCCGAACCCTAGTCCCTAAACCTAAACTCTGAACCCTCAAACCGCAACCCCAAACCCTAATCCCTAAACGCTAGACTCTGAATCCGTAATCCTGCACCCTAAACCCCAAACCCGAGCTCCTAACCTGAACCCTAAACCCTAAACCTCTAGAGACCTGCACACACCTCTAGACTGAGCCTAAAGAACGCACAGAGCCCTGATGCTGCAGGGCTTGAGGATGGGAAAGGGTCGCTGGGATTGAGGGTTTGGGGGTTTAAGGGATCGAAGTTCTAAGCGTTCGAGGGTTTAAGGGTTTAAGGGCTTGAGGGTTTAAGGGTTTAGCATTTCAGGTTTTAGGGTTTTAAGGGCTTAAGGGTTTAAGGTGTTTTTGGAGTTTAAGGCGTTTAAGGGTTCTAAGGTTGCAAGGGTTTAGGAGAAGGCCTTAAGGCCTTAAGAGCTTGGGGATTAAGGCCGATGTCTTTGGAACCCTTAAAGAAAAATATTCTTCCTCAATACTACTTACTACTAAAGTCATCATCCATGTTAGATTCTGTTTCATCACTGGTGGCATTATCACTAGTCCTAAACCCTAAACCCTAAACCCTAAACCCTAAACCCTAAACCCTAAACCCCAAACCCTAAACCCTAAACCCTAAAAAGCGGGTTTCTTTGGAACCCTGTTTGGTGGTGGGGTCCAGGGCCTCAAACAGCCGCGCGCCGGCTGCCAAGGCCTGCCAAGCTCGACGTCGTTCGGGCTCGTGGCTGAAAGTGTTCTTGGGGGCTGCAGGGTGCCTTGCTAAACCCTAAACCCTAAACCCTAGACCCTAGACCCTAAACCCTAAACCCTAGACCCTAAACCCTAAACCCTAAACCCTAAACCCTAACCCTGGACCCCAAATCCCGCAACCCCAAACCCCAAAGCCTTAGCCGGGTTCAAAGTTAATAGACTTTTCAGGACTAGGCTTGCTGCTTCATGGGCAGTAGAAGGGAACCTGGCTTTCATTCATGTTTCGTTCACGGGGTTCTTGGTTCACATAAAATTATGTGACTTCGTGAACTTGCAACTCAATTAATGTCTTCACCAAAACCCCGATTACAATGTATCCCGAGGGTGGGTTCTTAGTGGCTTGGAAACCGAGGTTGGGTCTCAAGGTGTGATGGGTGAACGGACGAACCTGGTGATAGAGAATGTACCGGGTGATCAGTTGCTTTGTGCATGAACTGGACCGCGAGGCAGTAACAACAATACGACTAGGGCCTCCAAGTTCCAGGATGATACGGTTAACAAGGGGCTTTTCCTGACGTGCAAACAGAACCTGTGAAGTGAGATAGCATCCTGTGAACTAGTGAATTGAGGAAGAGGGCAAATTTGTGTCTAATAAAATGCAAGGACGCAAGGACGCACAATTTTGCCCCAGACACGCCATTCAGTATTTGGGGTCTTGGTGTAGTTTTCGGGTTTAGGTTTTAAGGTTTAGATATAGGGTCCTTAAGGAAAGGGGCTTCATGGAGGGGGTTTGTACCCAAGGTTCCCCAATACTCCCAACTACTCCCTAGGGCTCCCTATTCTTCCCTCAAATTCCGCAGGTACCTACAGTACCCCAGTACCCCTGATGAGCCCCCCTTCCGTAAACCCCTACATTTTAAACACCCGTAACAACTCCACGCGACCCTGTGCCAAACATCTGGCCAGACCGCAACCACCTAGATGCCTAAACCCTATAAAACCTAGACACCTAAACCCCATACCGCCCATACCTCCCCGAGCAATACACCAAGACAGACATAAGCCCTAAGCCCTAAACCCTGACCAACACCCCAACCCCTAAACCCCAAAACCCTGAACCGCGAATGCGCCTCCGGTCCAGAGTAGAAACGCATGGGGCCCTGCTTTCCGTGCTCGCAGGTAATCTTCGGGACCTGCATCGTTCAGGGCTTTACAGTTTAGGAGAAACCTTAAACATCCTTAAAACTAAACCCTGAACCCTAGGGTTAGGGGGGTAGATTTCAGGATGTGTTCGGCTAAAGGTCGGGAGATTCAAGGGCTTTCAGGGTTTAGGAGATAAGGATGTTAAGGGTTCAGGATGTTTCTGTCGAGCGTAAGCTCCGGGGAAGCTCCCAAAGCCTTCCACAACTCCATTTCGGAGCCTGCATGATGAGGGTACCCAACAAACAGGGTGACTAAATCTTCGGCCAAGACCAGCTACAGCGATTTGGATTCACAAGCCTGAACCCGAAACACTACACCTGCACACAGACACACACACACACACACACATATTTCGAAGTCTCCCTATCTTTAGTAGGAGAAGGCAGAACCGGTATAAACACGAATGCTCATCGGCCCTACACACAGAGAGAGACATCGGTGGCTCAGATTTTCAATCCGGGAGAATCAGGCTAGTGAGTTTACTGGCTGTCAATCGCCACAGGACTGTAGGGGCTTGAGTGGGGGGGGGGGACCTCTGCAGTACTGGCACGCTATGAACAAGGACTGGCCTGGATTGGAGATTATGACACACACACACAGACGCAAACGCGTCCAAGACAAGTGAAAGGAGCAGCTTCACCTGTCTTGGTGTGTATCCACACACATTCTTGGCTGACTTCTGAACCCCTACCAAAAGTTTAACTTTTAGGCTCCTCATTGTAGTTTCGACGAAAACCAAAAGAGTCAAAGTCCTACGGGCCAGCCAAAAGACAGCCAGGAATGATCCTGAAACCCTGTGACGTGCGCAATGTATCCAACCCAGGAATCCTGCAACACTTCGGCCTTCGAGGTCTGCACAGCTTGCAAAACCCTAACCCTAAACCCGGAACCCTAAACCCGAAATCCTACAAAAGCTTTGGAGTTGCGGCCTCTGCCCAACTTTGGTGGCAACCTGCGTCGCCCCCTTCACTGGCTTGAGCCGTGAGTTGCCTCACAGGGGGGGGGAGGGGGGGGGGGGGGCACTTAGTGTTGGGCCTTTGTCTTGGCCCCCTAAACCCCAAACCCTAAACGCAGGGTCTAACGTTTGCTGAATAACGTCACGAGGTTGCTTCAGGGCCCAAATGTGGATGTCGGACTTTCTGAGGTTAGCTCGACGGTTAGGGGCTACTTCATGGAAGCAACTTCATAAGCCCGAATTAGACTGTGAACTCTAGAACCCTGAATGCAGTGCCAGCATCAGGAATCCCTTGCATGGAAAGATTCAACGTCCAGAGCTGCAAAGGTAAAGAAGGCTTTGTCTGCTTCCCGGATGTTTCCAGGGTTCCGCGCAATACATCGAACATGCTATGATGTCGGGCACTGCGTGCCATTTCTTAAAACCATTAGCGAAGCCTACATGTAGCCACAATAGGTCGCACAAGTCGCGGGCCGTCTCTCAGTGGCAAAGACGGATGGCAGAGAAATGTTGAGGCTTATTACGCTCAATGCGTTGCAGGCCCGAGAAGGCCAATGGTGCTGATGTACTGGCAAACGCCAGTACCTGCATGATCGTCGGCAAAACCGTGTGGCTCGAATGCTGCCTAGGTAGGAACTTAACAAGTGCACATGTTTAGGGTTTAGGAATTTAGGGTTTAGGGTTTAGGGTTTAGGGTTTAGGGTTTAGGGTTTGGGGATTGGGGTTTGGGGTTTGGGGTTTGGGGTTTGGGGTTTGGGGTTTGGGGTTGGGGTTTAGGGCATCGAGGCCTTGGCCGGTTTGAGTTTTGACAGCCTGCCTTGAGGAGGGAGGCATATATCCTGTTGGGGTGGTTGTCAAAATTCTGGTCCGTTTTTGGATCCCTATGACAATGCGGCACCTAATATCTAAAGTACCCCCAAAAAAGGATCATGATTGTGACAAACACTCTTTTGTAGGTTTCCTTGGGAGTTGTGTTGGACTAAAAAACCTGAAGCAAAAGCCAAAGCCCTAACCTACAAAACTCAAAAAATCCTAAATCCAAAAGCCCTTATTCCCTTAAACCAAAAGCCTGAACCCTAAATCAAGAGCCCTCAGTCCTAAAACCCTGAGCCCTAAAGCCCTGAGCCTGAAAGCCACCCAAAAAGCCCCCCTGAAGACCCTAAACCCTGAGGCATGCCGTGCCTGAAGAGCTTGTTGACCTTGAAAGGTTTAGGGTTTAGGGTTTAGAGTTAGGGTTTAGGGGTTAGGGGTTGAAGGCTTCAGGGTTTTGCTTAGGCAGGTTTCGGTGTTTAGGCGTTGGGGGGGGGGGGGGGGTAGGGTTCAGGGTTTAGGGCGAGCTTGTGGGGGTTAGGGCACAGGGCTTGCTACCTGCCTGTGAGACCTCGAACACCCATATGGTGTGGGTTTACGTTTTCCGGTTTTGGGTTTAGGGTTTAGGGTTCAGGGTTTAGGCGTACCCGACCAAAGGAAGCTGCTGACAGGGTGCCCAGAGATACTCCAGGTCTGGCCTCTCACAGAACCTTCCACGAAATTTGGGGCAGTGTTTAGGGTTTAGGGTTTAGGGTTTAGGGTTTAGGGTTTAGGGTTTAGGGTTTAGGGTTTAGGGCTCAGGGGATTAGGGGTTTAGGGGCTTGGGGTTTAGGAGTTCAGGAATTTAGGGATTTAGGGTTTCAGGAAGGAGTTGAGCCCTGTATGGGTTCAGTGTGGAATTGTTTAGACTGACGGTTTAGGAATTAAGGGATTTAGGGATTTAGAGATTTAGGTTGAGAAATTTAGGGATTTAGGGTTTAAGAGATTTAGGGATTTGAGGTTTGGGGGGTTTAAGGTTTGGGGGCTTAGGGGTCTAGGGTTTGGGGGTTTAGGGATTTCAAAGGGCAGCCCTTCTCTGTCTGACCCATAGAAGAAGCCAAATGCCCTTTTGCAAAAGGGCAGAATTTTGCCACATTGGGGTAGAGGCGGTGGGGCTCAAGATATTGAGCCCTATGCCCCACACCCTCAAACCGTAAACCCTAAACCCTGAAATCCTGAACTATAAACCCTAAACCCCAAGCTCTTCTGAAAGCTTGGGGTGTTTATGGTTTTTCTTGAGCTTAGGGCTGAACCCTGAAATCCTGAACTATAAACCCTAAACCCTAAACCCTAAACCCGAAACCCCAAACTCTTCTGAAAGCTTGGGGTGTTTATGGTTTGTTTTGAGCTTAGGGCTGTCATTTGACCCTTTGAGGGGGCCTTAAGCCAAACAGCCCACGCAATCTCCAACAAACCCTAGGGTTTCCAGGGTGGGGCCCCCTTACTATACTAACTGTAGTTAAGGGACTTATAACCTAAACTAGGGTCCTTATAACCCAATTTAGGGCCCTTATAACTCTACTTATAACTAGGGGGCCCCACCCTGTAGGGTTTAGCGTTGTGTAAGCCCAAGAACACCTCTAAAAAGGGAAGCAATTGACCTGCATCGGCGGGGGGGGGGGGGGGGGGGGATGAGGGAACCCAAGCTTTCCGAAGGTCTTAACCCTAAGCCCTAAGCCCTAAGCCCTAAGCCCTAAACCCTAAACCCCAAACCCTAAACCCTAAACCCCAAACCTAAACCCTAAATCCTTCTAGGGCTTTGGGCAGGGGGGGGGGGGGGGGGGAGGAGGAGATGCTGGCAAAGTGGCCGCTTGGACCAGTGAGCCCGAGTCCGCCGAAGCCACTCCACAACCTCGGCGTTTCCGAAAATAGGGTTTAGGGTTTAGGGTTTAGGGTTTAGGGTTTAGGGTTTGGGGTTTGGGGTTTGGGGTGTCGGGTTTAAGGTTTAGGATTTAGGGATAGTCCTCACTGCAAGAGAACCCTTTTTTTATTGGGGGTGTCCCTATTGCCAGAAACCCCCAATTGAGTCCCAGTTTGGTTTGGGGTTGGGATGTAGGGTTTAGGGGGTTTAGGGTGTAGGGCTTGGCATTTAGGGGGTGTGGGGTTTGGGTTTAGGGAATTGTTTGGGATTTCTGGGGTTGAGCGGCATCCTAACACTCCTCAAGCCCTAGAAAGCCAGCAAAACCCCAAGAAAACCCTGCAACGCTAGCCTCAACCCTGTAGACAAAGCCTTAGAAGCTAAAAACCCTAGAGTTGGCAGAGTCCGTAGCCCTAAACCCTAAACCCTGAACCCTAAACCCTCAACCCTCCGCCCTAAACCCTAGCCCAAGTGGCCAAGGTATGCCCTGGTGAGGAGACGATGAAGCTGCCTCAGAGGGTGTAGGCCACAACAGCCCCAAAAAAAGGAGGGCGCCATTCGAGGCTTCTCTTAGGGAGTTTAGGGTTTAGGGTTTGGGGTTTGGGGTTTAGGGTTTAGAAATTTAGGGTTAAAGGTTTAGGATACTGCCCACATTCGGCCAGCTGAGGCGCTAATGATGTGCGGCACGCCATGGTGCTCCGGGCTTTGCAGATCCGGATAGAAGGCGAAGAAGCCTCATGCGGTATAGGGAAAAACCCTAAACCCTAGACCCTAAACCCTAAACTCCTAAACCCAAGCCCGGCATTCCCTAAGAAAGGGGTTTAAGCTTGGGGTGGAGGAGGGTTTAGGGCTGAGGGTTCATCCTAAAGTGCTTGAGCGATAAGGTCTTGAACTCGGGTTAAGGGTGTAGAAAACAAGAGCAACTACTCTTAAACGAAAACAAGGGAAATAACTTAGAAGCAACAAAACGTGCACCATCGACCTTACCAAGATAGACAGCCCATACACATCCCTGGCAGAACGGCCTAAGGCCTAAGCCCTAAACCCTAAACCCTAAATCCTAAACCCTAAACCGTAAACCCTAAACCCTAAACCCTAAAACCCTAAACCCTAAACCCTAAACCTTGAGCCCTAAACCCTAAACCCTAAACCCTAAACCCTAAACCCTAAACCCTAAACCCTAAACCCAAAACACAACCGCAAAGCCCAGCATCATCGAACACAAGCCCTGTACTAACACCGAAAGCGCCCAACACAAACACACAAACATCCGAAGAACTCTCAAGCCCAAAACCAACCAAGACAAGCCCTGAATAACCCTAAACCCTAAACCCTAAACCCTAAACCCCAAGAATTGAAAACACCCAAAAGAAGCCGTTGGCCGCCGCAGTCGGAAGCCAGTCATCCAGGGGCCGCCGGCACAGGTTCGTTGCCTCGGCAGATGCTGGGGTTTAGGGTTTAGGGTTTAGGGTTTAGGGTTTAGGGTTTAGGGTTTAGGGTTTAGGGTTTAGGGCTTAGGGTTTAGGGTTTAGGGGTTTTAGGGCCTAAACTGCAACTGCTGAATTCCCGAAACCTTACACCCCTAAACCCTTAAATCCTTAAGCCTTAAACATCCTTAAGCCATAAACCCCCAAAACCCTAAACCCTCATACCCTAAGCCCTCCAACCCTAAACCCTTAATCCCTTAAACCTTTGAACTCTTAAACCTTTGAACCCTTAACGCTTTGAACCCTTCAACCCTTAAAACCTTGAAACCCTAAACCCGTTGAGGGCCTCAGAGCCCGTAAGGACTGAGGGCGTTTTCTTCTCCGGCTTCGGAGCAAACCGGGCAGAGGGCCGATAGGCTCTAGTCGGGGGGGGGGGGGGGGGGGGGGGAGGGTTTGATCTAAAGGTTCCTCTGGAAAATTCTTTGAGGGTTCCGATGTCGGCTTTATGAGGGGAAATGTAGGACCATTGTTCGTGCAAATGGTATTTTGGATCATAACCTTGAAGGGTTTAGGGTTTAGGGTTCAGGGTGTAGGGTTTAGAGTTTAGGGGAACATAGGGTACTCCTTTTCTTCCCCAAATAGAACAAAATCCCCTTCAAAGGAACTTTCAAAAGGTTGTTGAGGTGTAGGGTTTTGGGGTTTCGGGGCTTTTGGGCCTTCGGGGGTCTTTCGGGGGTTTTGAGGCTGTAGTTTCGACGATTTAGGGCCAGGTTTTTTTTTTTTTTTTTTTTTGGGGGGGGGGGGGGGGGGGGTTTGGAGTTTAGGGTTTTAGCCTCTTATGGAAGCCTAAACCCTAAACCCTAAACCGTAAACCCTAAACCCTAAACCCTAAACCCTAAACCCTAAACCCTAAACCCTAGGTAGTATGCGTGCTTCCCTTTTAACAGCAGAGCCCTGTCGAGCGGCATCCACCCAGGCGCCCCCATACTTTTCCAAGAGGTAGAGCCTGGCTTAGGGTTTAGGGTTTAGGGTTTAGGGTTTAGGGTTTAGGGTTTAGGGTTTAGGGTTTAGGGTTTAGGGTTTAGGGTTTAGGGTTTAGGGTTTAGGGGTGTAGGCGGGTCTAGGGTCTAGGGTCTAGGATTTCGGGTTTCAAAGTGTCAGGAGGGCTCCGGATGGATTGAGGCATAGCAAAAGGCTGGAGGGTTTATCCTGAAACGCTCACGTGTCACAAGTATCTTACATAGCGGCTTACAAAGAAAAGGGGACCAAATGGTAGGATTCCCTTCTTGTAAGTAACCCAGCAAGGTACCCTCCTAATTCGGTAACCAAGGGACCGCGGAGTTGAAAGTTTAAGGGTTTAGGGTTTAGGGTTTAGGGTGTAGGGTGTAGGGTTTAGGGTTTGGGGTTTAGGGTTTAGGTTTTGGGGTTTAGGAATTCACGCAGCCTCGGAGTTCGCTAGCGCCCGTGCCGTAAGTGTCATGCAACCCAAATCGGGATCTGATCTTGTATACTAAACCCTAAACCCTCAACCCTAAAACCATAAAACTCGAAACCCTAAGCCCCAAAACCATAAAGCCGAAACCCTAAGCCCTAAACCCTAAAACCCTAAACCCTAAAACCCTAAACCCTAAGCCCTATCTCCGATGCATAAGACCGTCAGCTCCCAGAAAGCAACATGAGGCAAATCCGCAAGGTGCAGACATCCCTGCAACAAAAAAACAACTGCAAACCGCAAGATTTCGGGGGTTAGGGCGACTCTAAACCCTAAACCCTAAACCCTAAACCCCAAACCCTAAACCCCAACCCTAAACCCTAAACCCTAAACCCTAAACCCTTGACCCTAAACCCTAAACCCTAAACCCCAGACACTAAACCCCGGCTTAGGGTTTGAGAGAGGAGCCCATGCACCTCAACAGGTCGGACTCGCTCGCGGGAGGTATCAAAACCTCTTGTCTCAAGGCATGGGTTTAGGATTTAGGGTTTAGGGTTTAGGGTTTAAAGGTTTAAAGGTTTAAAGGTTTAAAGGTTTAAAGGTTTAAAGGTTTAAAGGTTTAAAGGTTTAAAGGTTTAAAGGTTTAAAGGTTTAAAGGGTTAAAGGGTTAAAGGGTTAAAAGGGTTAAAGGGTTTAGGGTTTAGGGTTTAGGGTTTAGGGATGGTTTAGGGTTTAGGGTTTAGGGTTTGGGGTTTGGGGTTTAGGGTTTAGGGTTTAGGGTTTAGGACGTCGGGTTAAGGGATTAGGGATGTAGCGTTTAGGGATGTACCAGCGGTGGCGTGGTCCTCGCAGTTGTCCGGTTGTCTGGGGCATATAGGTCGGTTCGTATTTAGGGTTTTAGGTCTGGGGTTTAGGGTTTAGGGTTTAGGGTTTAGGGTTTAGGGTTTAGGGTTTAGGGTTTAGGGTTTAGGGTTTTGTGGTTTAGGGTTTAGGGTGTTCTGCCTGCCCCTTTGTGAAAAACGAGGCGGAGGAGCGGTGATCTTGGCACCCTGCACCCCGAATCCCTAAGCCCAAACCCTAAACCCTGAACCCTGAGCATTCAAAACCTCTAAAGCATGTCACTCACCTGAAACCTTGAAACCCTAAGCCCTAAGCCCTAAAACCTAAACCCTAACAGCTGCAAGCCCGTTAACCCCCAAACCTTCCACAAAGTGCCCCTAAGCCCTTTAAATCTTTCAGAGGAATCTGGAGATTCAAGCAGAGCTGCAGACACCCTGGGTTTAGGGTTTAGGGTTTAGGGTTTAGGGCTTCTTTGGGTCATTGCTTGATGCTACCACAATCATGAGTGCTTCAGCCTCAGCCATTAAGAGCTGACAGTACTGGCGAACGCTGGCCTCCGTGGGAATCGACTCCAACTGCTGCTGATGTCTGAAAGTGGATAGTTGAACGGGGCATGGTTCGGTTTTGCAACTATCACTTTTCCCAGTCCATCCAATGCACGCACAAGCAAGGTCGGATCGGAAGGCGCCAGACTAAGTTCGTTTAGGGTTTGGGGTTTAGGGTTTCGGGTTTAGGGTTTTGGGTTTTCAAGGCCTTCTCACTTACGGAGTGCGGCGTGATGGGCTTGCAGTGTGTGTCCGTCGCTCTGGGGTTGGGTCAGGAAGGCCAGTATGGTGGCTTTCTCCCCCCTGGTTGGAACCGTGTCATCGTAAGAAATAGCAACGGACCAGTACCTAGAGCTCTGCTCAAAACTCAAAGTCCTTTAACCCAACACTCTCAACCCTGAACCCAAACCCTAACCAAAACCCAACCCTGAACCCCTACACCTAAAGCCTAAACCTACGTCCTGAACCCTCGACCCAAGGCCCTACACCCGAAACCCTAAAACAAAAGCCCCAAACCGTCCACCCCAAACCCCAAACCCTAAGCCCCAAACCCTAAACCCTAAACCCTAAACCCTAAACCCTAAACCCGAAACCCTACTAAAGCCCTGAACCCGAGGCCCAAGTCTGCGACCTCACCAAAGGCAGCACGCTGTTGCGAGGTGAGCCCGAGCTTGTCACCCAGGTTCCTTCCATGGGTTTAGGGTTTAGGGTTTAGGGTTTAGGGTTTAGGGTTTAGGGTTTAGGGTTTAGGGTTTAGGGTGTAGGGCTCAGGGTTAGGGTATAGGGCTGAACTTCGACACCCTCCGCGCTCTTGTAGGGTCTTACGCGAGGTGAAGGGTTCAGATCTTCAGTTTACGGTAGACAGGATCTTAGGCCTGGGAGGTTTAGGATTTATAGGGTTTAGGAGCTTATGTGCAAGCTTAAGGGCTTCGGGGTCTAGCGAGGTTAGGGTGGCTCTTGCCGCCTTGGAGGGCGTGGGGTGGGAGAAAGGTGTTTGATAGCCCTCCACAGTCGGGCCCGAGCTGCTTTTCGCACCGCTCTCGAGCCTCCTCTGCATCCTAACCTTCATGGCATCAGCGCCATATTATTGCAGCAAACCCTAAACCCCAACCCCCAACCCCCGGAACGCCCAGAACCCCCAGAAGCCCTAAACCTAAACCCTAAACCCTAAACCCTAAACCCTAAACCCTAAACCCTAAACCCCCCCTAGCCTTAATTCCGCCGGGGTGCATCTGCTGCCGTAGAGCCTGGTACTCTTCGAAGGAGTCCCCCAGCAGTTTTGGGAAGCTCGAGCGCGAGATGGCGCGGATATCCTGCGCAGAAGGCTGGCCCTAAACCCTAAACCCTAAACCCTAAACCCTAAACCCTAAACCCTAAACCCTAAACCCTAAACCCTAAACCCTAAACCCTAAACCCGAAACCCGAAACCCGAACCCTAAACCGGGTTTGGGGCTTAGGGTTTAGGGTTTGAGATGTTTAGGTACTCGCATACTAGTCAAGGATGAACTAGAGAACCCTGAATCTCCTGACCCTTACCCCTAAGATCTTCCAAGCTTCGAGCTCCAAATCCCACCCCGATGCCCTAAGCAAAAGCCAAAGGCACCAGAAAACCCTGAGAGCCCCTAAACCCTGAACCCTGAACCCTGAAATCTGAACATTGAACCCTAAACCCTAAACCCTAAACCCTAAACCCTAAACCCTAAACCCTAAACCCTAAACCCTAAACCCTAAACCCTAAACCCTAAACCCTAAACCCTAAACCCTATACTAAACCCTAAACCCTAAGCCCAAACCCTTAACCCTCAATCCTAAACCCATTCGGTCCCAGGTCGGATTGAACAGTCTCCAGGTCTGCAGCATGTGCACGCCTCGACGCGGGGGCCGAAGGAGTGTGTGGGTGTAGGGTTTAGGGTTTAGGGTTTAGGGTTTAGGGTTTCGGGTTTAGGTTTAGGGTTTAGGGTTTAGGGTTTAGGGTTTAGGGTTTAGGGTTTAGGGTTTAGGGTTTAGGGTTTAGGGTTTAGGGTTTAGGGTTTAGGTTTAGGGTTTAGGGTTTAGGGTTTAGGGTTTAGGGTGTAGGGTTTAGGGATTAGGGCTCGGATAGAAGGCTACGGGTTTGAGGACAAGGGCTTAGGATTTGACAGAAGGGTTCAGCGCTAAGGGTTTTGAGGATTTGGTCGATTCAGGATTCGGGTTTAGGGCTTTGAGGCTTGAGATGTAGTGGGTGGAGCTGGCATTGAAAAATCGGGTGTTGGGATTTAGGCTGTAAACAAGGTCCAGGGCAGCTTCGTGTCGAGAATTGACGGCGTAGGTCAGCCGGCCGGGCGGATAAGATGGTATCACTTTGACCGTGTCGCCTGTGGCGCTGCGCATTGCGTGGGCTGGATCCTTCCCATGCAAGACCACATTTGGGAATGCAGCCTGAAGATATTCCAGGGACTTCTGCACAGCACCATCACAAAAAAAACTGCCCGACGATGTGATTGACGAGGGTCTCATCCACTGAGCCTGTGACAGCCAGCAGTTTTGCAGTTGTCGCTTGACTGACTCCGCACGGAGAATGTCGCAGCATTGTGGAACCCAATACAAACCTGAAAATCCTAAACCCTAAACCCGAAAACTGTCTCAAAGACACCCCCAGCCCAGAAACCATGGGCCCCGAACCCCCCACAACCCTGAGCCCTGAACCCTCCTAAGCCCAAACCCTGAACCAGAAGCAACATGCTCCTAGCCCTAAAGCCTAAACCCTAAATACCTTCAACCCAAGATACCTTCAACCCTGAACCTCAAACCCCAAACCCCAGGCCACAAATCCTAAACCCGAAGCCTCAAACCCTCAACCCTAAGCCCCAAACCCTAAGCCATAAATCCTAAACTCTAAGCCCCAAAGCCTGAACCCTGAAGCCTAAACCCTAAACCCTAAACCCTAAACCCTAAACCCTAAACCCTAAACCCTAAACCCTAAACCCTAAACCCTGAACCCTAAACAACTCAAACTTCCTCCCAGGCGCAGAGCGGAGGGGCGGCGTCCCAGCCCTGCCATCGTTGCGCATGTTGAAGGGTTGTAGGCAGGGTTTAGGGTTTAGGGTTTAGGGTTTAGGGTTTAGGGTTTAGGGTTTAGGGTTTAGGGTTTAGGGTTTAGGGTTTAGGGTTTAGGGTTCAGGGCTTAGGGCTTAGGGTTTAGGGTTTAATTCGGGTTTAGGGTTTAGGGTTCGGGGCTGCGGAAACTCAACCCTTTAACCCTTGAACCTCAGCCCCTAACAAATCCAGTTTTCTTCTGCTCCTAAACCCTAAACCCTAAACCCTAAACCCTAAACCCTAAACCCTAAACCCTAAACCCTAAACCCTAAACCCTAAACCCTAAACCCTAAACTCCGTGCCTGGAACCAAAGCATCCAGATGATGCGCGGGACGTCCGCAAAGGAGGCGTCCTTCCCCGTCGCCGGCAGCGGCATGGGACCCGCCATCGCGGCGCTGGGAGGAGGGCCATCCATTCTTAGGGTGTAGGGTTTAGGGTTTAGGGTTTAGGGTTTAGGGTTTAGGGTTTAGGGCTTAGGGCTTAGGGTTTGGGGTTTGGGGTTTGGGGTTTGGGGTTTGAGGTTTGGGGTTTGGGGTTTGGGGGTTTTTGGGGTTGGGCTTAGGGTTTAGGGTTTCGGGTTTCGGGCTGAGGGTTAATGGGGCTGGGCTTAGGGTTTAAGGGTTGGGGCTTAGGGTTGAGGGTTGAGGGTCGGGTTTAGGGTTTAGGGGTTGAGGGGTCTAGGGGTTTAGGGTACAGGGCTCAAGGTCTACAGTAAAATTGTCGTGGTTTGGGGTCGAAAAAAAGAGGGTTGTGTTCATGCTCAGAGGCTTTGTCTGGGAGTCACCCTCAACGGCTGCGAAGGCCCTGATGATTGCGTCTTCTTTTTCTGTCTACAGGGGTTAGGGTTACTTCCCCAAGACCCTAAAACCCTAAACTGGAAACCCCCCAAAGCAAAGCCCTTAAGGTTTAAGGGGGTAGGCTTCAGGGTTGAAGGGCTAGGATGTAGGGTTGAGAGAGTTTAGGACTGAGGCTTTAGGATGTCTGGTTTAAGCTTCCCTAGACCCAAGACGCAACCTAGGAATAAGAAGTGTAACCTAAACCCTGCCAAAATGGGAATAATAATAGCCTCCTCGGGGTCCTACCCCTAAACCCTAAGCCCCAAACGCTAAACCCTAAGCCTAAACCCCTAGTTCCAGGTTGGGGTCAAGAATGCGCTTCTGGAGAGATGTTAAAGGATGCCTGCCTGTAGAGCTTCTGAGCTTTGGGGGATAAAGGGGCCACGATCCATAAGTTGGGATGTTTGGGGGTTTGAGGGTTTAGGGCTTTTGGTTGGGATGCTCCCCCTTCTACCAACAGTCCTTAATAAGGATTACAATAGGGGGGGTGGGAGGGCCCTAAGCCCTAAGCCCTAAGCCCTAAGCCCTAAGCCCTAAGCCCTAAGCCCTAAGCCCTAAACCCTAAACCCTAAACCCTAAACCCTAAACCCTAAACCCCAAACTAAACCCATCAGGATGTTCGAGCTTTAGGGCTTTAGGGCGTTTGGGGCCTTCGGGAGTATTGGGGTGTAGGGCTTAGGGTTCTCGCTTCCTTTTTGGAGAGCGGCTCAGGGTTTGGGTTCTGCCAGGAGCCGCCGGTTTAGGGTTTAGGGTTAAGGGTTAAGGGTTAAGGGTTTAGGGTTTAGGGTTTAGGGGCTAGGGGTTAGGGTTTAGGGTTTTGGCTTGATCTTTCCGTCCAGTCTCATACAAGCAGGACGCGCAACAGTCATTCAGAGGTTCTGGGCCCCTCATGAGTCGTGAAGGTAACAGCCAGGATGGGAGAATGAGGGTGAAAAGGGCCAAATAATAAGTCCTTTAAAGGGGCCCTTTTCATCTCCCTCATTCGTGCGGTTTACAGGTTCATAATGACACTGGTGAACAGGAAAGGGGGATTTCTTGGTCATTTAGTACTAACCGGGGAACAACATGACAGCCTAACCATTAAGTCCTCGAAACCAGGGTCTTTTGGCTTGTTCAGTCACCCCTGTCACCCCTTTCACCCTTCACTCGCGACTCCACGAAAAACCGTATTGATATATATATATATAATTATAATTATAAGGCGCGCATGAATTTTCATATGTTTTAATGGGCGTTTTTTCCCCCAGAGTCGTTCATGAAGGTTTCAATCTTTAGAAATCAAATATTAAATTTCGGGGAAGTTCACGCGCGTCGTAATGATGTTAATGTTGGCTTTATAAAGAGTGAAAGGGGCCCATATTACATGTACTAAAAGGCGCGCTATTCATTGCCCCTTTGGTACATTTAATATTGGGGCATGAACGAACACTGGGGAAAAGAGGTTATGGTCGCCAGAATTACATGACAGCGTGAAGGTGATCTGTGAGCCAAGTCCGTGAAGACAACACCCCTGTCCATAAGCCCCATCTCCAAGTACCCCTAAACCCTAAACCCTAAACCCTAAACCCTAAACCCTAAACCCTAAACCCTAAACCCTAAACCCTAAACCCTAAACCCTAAACCCTAAACCCTAAACTCTTCATCTTGGTGGACTTCGTGAATGCGCTCTTTTCACTCGCTTATTCACTCTCCCCGTGATAATGGTATGAGAATAAGGTAAAGAATGCACTTAGCCCAGGGTTTCGGTTTTCAAGTTTAGGGTTTAGGGTCTAGGGTCCTAAGCCTACACAAACGAAAACCACAAGACTACAACCCTAAACCCTAAACCCTAAACCCTAAACCCTAAACCCTAAACCCTAAACCCTAAACCCTAAACCCTGTGGAGTGAGCAGCACCATGCTAAAGTGCGGGCACCCGCCTTGCGGATGTCGAGCACTGCCTCACCCTCAGGCTCCGTCTCGGCCTGCGCTAGTTTAGGGTTTAGGGTTTAGGGTTTAGGATTTAGGGTTTAGGGTGTAGGGTTTAGGGTTTAGGGTGTTTTAGGGCCCTAAGGTTTAGGGTACCCAAAGAGCGACCATCATGCAGAGAACTCGCGAGATGTCCAGGAAGTTCAGGGGTTTAGGGTTTAGGGTTTAGGGATACTTCAAGGTTTGCAAGGAAAATGGGGCCCCCAGGGCTTAGAGGGTTTGGGGTTTAGGGTTTTAGGGTATCAAGTGTAGGGTTTCTTGACTTCTAGGGAATAAACCAAGGGGCCTTACTTAGTATGTGCCTCCCATTACTGGGGAGGCCGCAAATCCCTGAATATATACCTCATAAAATGCTGGCGCCCGGAACCCTTTAAAGCATGCAAGGGACCATATTAAGGGACCATGTAACTAAACCCTAAACCCGAAACCCTAAACCCTAAACAACACTTCTGAAACCCGAAGCCCAACCTCCAACCCTAAACCATCATACCCGCATGAACTAGTCTAGACACGAGCACCTTGAACCCTGAACCCCAAACCTGAAACCCTAAACCCGTAAACTCTTAAACCATGTAAACCCTACTAACTCTACAAGGCCCATAAAACCCCACAAGCCCTATACAGCCCTAGCCTGTAAGCTCATACAAGCCCTCAAAACTTCAGTCCTGAACCCTATAAACCCAAAACCCAAAACCCAAAACCCTAAACCCTGAACCCTGAAGCCTAAAAGCCCTAGCAGCCTCGCCGTCTGGAAGCCGACCGACGCAAACCTGAGTGCTTGCCAGGGCTTGGGGAAATAAGGCTTCATAGGGCTTAGGGTTTCGGGTTTACGGTTTAGGCCTCGGGCTCAGGGTTTAGGGTTTAGGGTTTAGGGTTTAGGGTTTAGGGTTTAGGGTTTAGGGTTTAGGGTTTAGGGTTTAGGGTTTAGGGTTTAGGGTTTAGGGTTTAGGGTTTCGGGTTTAGGGCTCAGGTTGAAGGGCTTAGGGTTCTAGAGTCTGGTGTTTTCCTGCAGATGCCACATTTTCTTTTTCGGGGTCAGGGACGTTGTAGGGTTTAGGGTTTAGGGTTTAGGGTTTAGGGTTTAGGGTTTAGGGTTTAGGGTTTAGGGTTTAGGGTTTAGGGTTCAAGGTTTAGGGTTTAAGGTTTTTGCTCAGGTTTGGGGCTGCGGGGGTGGGGGCGAGGGGTGCAGGGAGAAGGTGTAGGGTCCCTTGAGACTGTCCCTCTAGAGGTGGAGAGTTTAAGGTCCTGAGGCTGCACACACGCCGCCCTCCACGACTCCCTCATGGCTTCCCATCAACCCTTCTCGCCCTTCTCGCGGCGCTTGAAGACCCCAAACCCGAAGCCCTAAAACCCCGAGCCCTAGACCCCAAACCCGGAGCCTAAAACCCTAAACCCCAGAACCCTAGCAGCCTGAAATAATACAACCAACCCTACCCGAAAACCATATAAGTTGGGATGTTCCCCCTTATACTAACAAGCCTTAAATGGGATTAGACTAAGGGGTACTATAGTCCCTTTGAAGGACTGGTAGTAGAAGGGGGAACATCCCAACCCTAAACCCCTAAACCCCTAAACCCCTAAACCCGAAACCTTTACCCCTAAACCCCTAAACCCCTAAACCCCTAAACCCCTAAACCCCTAAACCCCTAAACCCCTAAACCCCTAAACCCCTAAACCCCTAAACCCCATAAACCCCTAAACCCCTAAACCCCTAAACCCTAAACCCTAAACCCTAAACCCTAAACCCTAAACCCTAAACCCTAAACCCTAAACCTATCCTATTAAGAACTGTTAGTATAAGGGGGACACATCCCAATAACCCTAAACCCTAAACCCTAAACCCTAAACCCTAAATCCTAAACCCTAAACCTATACCCTGCAATCCCCTGAAGGCCCCCTGAAACCCCCACAGAACCCATAAGTTGGCCTTGCCGGTCGGCGACTCATGTTCGCTTGCCAGGCTACCTGGTTTAGGGTTTAGGGTTTAGGGTTTAGGGTTTAGGGTTTAGGGTTTAGGGTTTAGGGTTTAGGGTTTAGGGTTCAGGGCTACCTGAGATTTGTTCGCACGCAGGTCCTTCCAGTTTAGAGCTTCGGATTTAGGGCTCGGAGGGTACGGTTTGGAGGTTCATATTGTTTTTGCTCGGAAGGGAAACAAGGTACTACAGGGTCTCTCTCGCTCTCTCTCTCTCTCTCTCTCTCTCTCTCTCTCTCTCTCTCTCTCTCTCTCTCCCTCTCTCTCTCTACTGCCACTCAGGGGATTAGGAGTTGGGACTTAGGGTCTTGGGTGTTCTGGTGGAGATTGGATGGTTCAGGGTCTAGGTTGCCTAGTCGCCACAGCAACAAACAGGGTACCCTGTTGTTGTCTACAACGCAACCTAACACCCTAATCGAACTCGTATCCTAAGCCACCTCAGACTTCCCATAACACACCCGAGACCCAAACTAAATCCTAGACTGTAAACCCTAAACCCTAAACCCTAAACCCTAAACCCTAAACCCTAAACCCTAAACCCTAAACCCTAAACCCGCCGCATGCAACCGTTAGAAATCCTAGGCCCCTAAGGCACCCAAGCCCAGCCCTCCTGAGCATCATTCAAACCCAGCAACCAAACAACCAAACAACCAAAGTTGGTTTAGGGTCGGGGTTTAGGGTTCTCAACCCTGCAATATCCGACTGTTTTAAAGTGCGTTGCTCTCCAGCCCTGTCTTTACAATGGAACCTTCCCCCCCACCCCCCCGCCCCAGCCCACAACTGGGGCCCCTAAACCTGAACCCTAGGCCCCGAATCCTGAAAGCTAAACCCTAAACCCCTAAAACCCTAAACCCCTAAACCCCTAAACCCCTAAACCCTAACCCCTAAACCCTAAACCCCTATTAAACCACTAAACCCTAAACCCTAAACCTCCAAACCCTCAGCCCTCCCGCAACAGGCCTTCCGACTCCCTCAGTATTGAAGCGGGCAAAGAGTGGCGCCTGGCCTCGCAAAGACACGCAGGCTGACCTACGGGGGGGGTTTACGAAAAAAAGGGTTTAGGGTTTAGGGTTTAGGGTTTAGGGTTTAGGGTTTAGGGTTTAGGGTTTAGGGTTTAGGGTTTAGGCTTTAGGGTTTAGGGTTTAGGGTTTAGGGTCTAGGGGGTCCCTAATATAGACCCCCATTCAGGGTTTTTATGGCTTTTTAGGGTGCTTAGGGTGAAGAACTTGAAACATGCTTGAAAAAATGTGGATCTGTGCAAAGAAATCTGTGAATTGTTTGTAAATCCGGTTGCGTGAGCCTGTTCAAATCAAGGAAGTCTACGTGCAGAAACCGATCAAACAAACTGTATAAAGCTGAGATCAGTGCCGCGGCCCATGCTCAAGTCCTGAATGTATCCATGCGCATTCTGCCCGTCCCGGTATCTTTTGGCTGCACGCTGTCTCAAACGTCTCGTCTGCCGAAGGTGCTTATGCAGCTCCGAACGTTCGGAAGATACCGTGGCCATTTGACCTAGACTGCTACGCTGAGCTCTGCTGCACAAGTGCGCTCTGCCTGGTCCTGCAGCCTTGAGCAGCAGAGCAGCAGAGAACCCGAAATACAAATCTCATCCTGGGGCAACCAGGTTGCAAGTAGAAGAGGACTGCGCGGAAAACACCCCCCGTTTCCCGAGGGTAAGACCGAGGGTAATAGTCTGGAAGCGCATGCTCCGAATCTAGTCAGGTACAATTTGCAGTCCTGCAAGTGGGGATGCCCGCTCGAGCAATCGGAGGCTAGACTCCGACACTCCGTGACATCTGAGGGCGCCCACAAACAGAACCTCCACCCAACCAAGCTCGTCGCAATGGTGAACAGCATGCACTGTGCCTACGGATCCTCTTCGGAAAGAGCAACCTGAGAACGTCTCGATGTCTGTTTCCAGACACACAAGGTCACCGTAATCAAGCTCATCGATTTGGCTCTGCTCGTTTTGCGTGCCCCTCGCGTCCCCAAGCTCGTCATCAGAGGACCCGATATAGAAACGACATAGCTCGCGATCGGGAGATCGCCAGAGCAACAAACCACGCTCCAGGTCATCTGCAGCCGCAAGCAAACCAGCGGTCCAAGAATCTAGGATTTGTCCCAGTCCGTCAACATGCTGTGGAACAAGGGCAAACAAATTGAAGGCTGTGTCGTCTGCCGTTGCCCGCTCTACAATGTCTTTCAACTTGCTCGTATCATCCCTGATGGCCATGAGCCGCGACTCAAACATCATCTCCACACACCGAAGCTCAGCAAAGCTACATTCACATCGCTCATACCCAGCGTCAACAAGGCCGTCATCTCCATCAATGGGCATTTCCTCCAGCCTAGCAGCAGTCGGTATGAGCTCAACAAGGCTCTTAACCTGTATAAAGCTGAGATCAGTGCCGCGGCCCATGCTCAAGTCCTGAATGTATCCATGCGCATTCTGCCCGTCCCGGTATCTTTTGGCTGCACGCTGTCTCAAACGTCTCGTCTGCCGAAGGTGCTTATGCAGCTCCGAACGTTCGGAAGATACCGTGGCCATTTGACCTAGACTGCTACGCTGAGCTCTGCTGCACAAGTGCGCTCTGCCTGGTCCTGCAGCCTTGAGCAGCAGAGCAGCAGAGAACCCGAAATACAAATCTCATCCTGGGGCAACCAGGTTGCAAGTAGAAGAGGACTGCGCGGAAAACACAAACAAACAGGGCTAAACTAACCTCAAGCTACAAAGTTATGCTCTTCCTCTTCCCTCTCTCTCCAACCTCTCCCAGGAGTTCGAACCCAGGCTTCGAGAACACTGCAAGACACAGCGGACAGCCAACCACGCAAAAGAGGTCAACCGCAACGTGCTTTCGTGCGTCACGAGTACGAAACTCTCAGCAAACCTGACAAACGCAAGTCCCTTGTTGGCCGTCAACCCCTAAACCCCTCGACCTTAGGACCCTTTGAAGCATCAAACCCCCTATACACTCAACGCTTAAACCCTGAACACCTTTGGCCTAAACCCTAAACCCTAAACCCTAAACCCTAAACCCTAAACCCTAAACCCTAAACCCTAAACCCTAAACCCTAAACCCTAAACCCTAAACCCTAAACCCTAAACCCTAAACCCTAAACCCTAAACCCTAAACCCTACCGTAAGAACTTAGGGCTTCGGGGTTGGCCCTGGCATCGAACTACACGGGCCGGTCGCCTGAGAACTCCGGGTAGCCAAGGCACTGGTTCGCTGTCGCTCACACATCTCGTTCACCCTAAACCCTAAACCCTAAACCCTAAACCCTAAACCCTAAACCCTAAACCCTAAACCTTTGTGCAACTTGCCGCTTTGCATTTCGTGCGGACGGAGACTCGTCGAGCTGATGAGGCCCCCCATTCCCCGGCGCACTCGAAGAATGCGAGACAACCCCATGAAAGGCCACCTCGGAGGTCTGAGTCCACATGCACCAAGGGTTTAGGGTTTAGGGTTTAGGGTTTAGGGTTTAGGGTTTAGGGTTTAGGGTTCAAGACCTTATGGCCTCCAGCTGGCAAAACCTCTGGTCTGGACTGCCCCTGCCGGGAAGTCTTGGACAATTGTCCTAACTAGACCCACAGGGCCTCTCGGCATCGCCATGCCTCTAATGCCTCCTGAGCCCACATGCTTGAAGATCGCCTCTGCCGAGGCTTTGATGACCGATTCGACACCCTAAACCCTAAACCCTAAACCCTAAACCCTAAACCCTAAACCCTAAAACCTAAAACCTAAAACCTAAAACCCAAACCCGCGCATACTAGCTCCTCAGGCATGGCTATCATCTATAGCAATTATTGCCAGTCGTTAGTACTACTTGTTTCAACACGCACACATGTTTATAAGCATGTGTTTATGACATATGCAAATAGTAGATGCAAAGAGTGCGGTTTTGGGGGTCTTGGGGTTCTGGGGTTTTGCTTCTTGGGGTTTAGTATTTTGGGGTTTAGGGTTCAGGGTTTTGGCGCGGCACGGCTTTAGGACAGTCTTCCATGTTTCATGGTCATACCCTGGAAGAGGGATTATGGTACTATCTCTGTCGAGGGCTCTCCATTTGTTTGGACCGGGGGATTCGTTGCTCCAGGCGGTTTAGGGCTTAGGGTTTAGCCCTAAACCCTAAACCCTAAACCCTAAACCCTAAACCCTAGGTTTCAGGGCTTCCTGACCTTAGCAGCGTCCATCTGCATTGCAAGCCTGAACCCTGAACCTTAAAATGCTCCGGCATCCCTCAGTTCCGAAACACCATGATCCTTGGGTTTAGGGTTTAGGGTTTAGGGGTTTAGGGGTTTAGGGGTTTAGGGTTTAGGGTTTAGGGTTTAGGGTTTAGGGTTTAGGGTTTAGGGTTTAGGGTTTATGACCCAGCAACAAAGAAGCCCGCATAACGACAAACCCCGCTATCAACCCTACAGAGCATACAACCTGTAAACCCTAAAAAACCCTGTAAATCCTGCAAAACCCCCGAAGAACCGATAAAGCACCCTAAACCCTAAACCCTAAACCCTAAACCCTAAACCCTAAACCCTACCAAATCCTACAGCTTCTAGGTTTTGGCGAAGTCCGACCTGCGCGTCGCTGCATTTGGCAGCCAAGTTCTGCTGCAGCACAGCCAGCTCTGCCTCAGGCTGCTGGGGGCAGCTGGAGCCCCTAAACCCTTAACCCTAAACCCTAAACCCTAAACCCTAAACCCTAAACCCTAAACCCTAAACCCTGAACCCTAAACCCTAAACCCTAATATAAACCCCCCAAATATAGGGGCCTTAATCATTCGAATAGGGTTTGGGGGGGTGATTAGAGTATACTTATCAAGGGATCATACGGGAATACCAGTAGTAAGAAACTATTCCTACCCCTTTATTATAAATGTTCGAGATTATAACAATAGACCTTAGACAGCATGGGAATACCCTGACCACCCCCTACTAAGCATTGTGCCCGAACCATGCCTTTTCCGTCGGCGGAACTTCGGTCGCAACTGTCGACCAGCGGTTTGAGTTTAGGGCTTGGGGTTCATAGAGTTTAGGGGCATTGGGGTTTAGGGGTATTAGATGCTGTGGTTTGGGTTTAGGGTTTTGGGTTCACGCTGGTTTAGGGTTTAGGGTTTAGGGTTTAGGGTTTAGGGTTTAGGGGCATTCGATGTTGAGAGCGTCAACATCTCAAGACCCAGACTTGGCTATTGCCTATAATACTAAAGCCCTAAACCCTAAACCCTAAACCCTAAACCTTTAAACCCTAAACCTAAACGCTAAACCCTGAACCTAAACTTCAGCCTCCCAAGAAATCTTTAAGACCTTTCCAAGGCATTCGGCTCGGAGCACGACTTGAGGAGCTAGTGGGATGGTGCCGGTTTAGGGTTTAGGGTTTAGGGTTTAGGCTTTAGGGTTTAGGGTTTAAGGTTTAGGGTTTAGGGTTTAGGCCTAAAGTCTGGGCGATTGGGGGAGTCTCTACTATGAGAAACTCTGTGGTTCTAAGAAAGATGAAGACACCAAAAGCAGTGGTCCAAAATGTCATGGATCTTATATACATATATATATATATACATATATATATATATACATATGTATAAATAAATAAATATATATATATACATATACATAAATGAATAAATATAAATATATATATATGTATGTACATATATAACTGTTCGTTTAGGGGCCCTCAACTGAAACTTAGATCAACCCGATGTGGACCACGCCGCGCCTGCATCAGCGCCGTTTGTCGCTCAGACTCCTGCTGCCTGCAAGGTGATGGCTACGGCAAAGCCGTGGGTTTAGGGTTTAGGGATTAGGGTTTAGGGTTTAGGGTTTCGGGTTTAGGGGGATTCTCCTAGACGACTGCTACCACCAAAACCCCTACCTAACGGCTGTGGGTTCAGAGCCCAAGCGCAGCTACTTCCCATGTTGGGTTTGGTACGTTCTGGGAATCAGCACATGTTGGGCCTATGCCTTGTGGGGTTGAAGGTTTACGAGTTTAGGATATTGGTTTAGAGTTTAGGGTTTAGGGTTTAGGGTTTAGGGTTTAGGGTTTAGGGGTTTAGGGTTTAGGGTTTGGCCTTTCGGGTTCAGGGTTGAGAATCTCAGAACTTCATCCCGAACATTGGCTGCCATTAAGAACACAAGACGTAGTTTGAGGGGCCTCGCACTCGCACTCAAGTATCACAGTATCTCAAAACAGGAAGGCAAACATCAGGTAGGCTGTATTTCTAGTATTCAGTATCCCCAAAAGGACTCCCCACACACCAATATTCATTAAACAAACCTATATACACGTCACCAATAATCGTCATATAAACTTAGCTTATAAAGCTGTATCCTCATCGCTAGTGAGCTAGCGCAGCGTGCCTCTCCGACACACACTTCACCAGCGTCTGCAAGCGAGCAGCCTGAGACGTTTGTTCGTGGTTGAGGGCTGAGGGTTTGTAGGGCTCAACCACTTTGAGGCGTACGGGTGTACCCTAAACCCTAAACCCTAAACCCTAAACCCTAAACCCTAAACCCTAAACCCTAAACCCCAAACCCTGAACCCGTAGGGTTTAAGATTTTAAGTCACCTCGAAGATAAGGGGGAGGGCCTTAGGCACCTTGAGGCGCGACGTTGCATCCAAGGGGCTCAAAGATTTAGGGGTTCAGGGCTAGGGTTAGGGTTTAGGGTTTAGGGTTTCGGGTTTAGGGTTTAGGGTTTAGGATTTAGGGTTTAGGGTTTAGGGTTTAGGGTTTAGGGCTTAGGGTGTAGGGTGTAGGGTTTACCCCCTCCAAAACACCTGCAGGATGTGCTCAGAACATGAAGGGTTTGCGGAGGGTCTTTTTTGAGCAAAAAGCCAGAGGGTTACATGGGCTCATGCAAGGGTTTGGGTTTGGGCAGTGGGGTGGGGTGTAGGCACTGTCGGGTACTGGGTTTACGCTCTTTAGAGGTCAGCTTGCTGAAAGCTGCGCAAGTCGTAGATTCTTGCCCTTCCCTTCCTCCCTTCCCTTCTCTTCCCTTGCCTTCCCCTAAGCCCTGAACCCTAAACCCTAACCCAATCCCTAAACTCTGCGGAGTGTCCACTGTGATTGGGTAACGACACGTTTGCTGCAGCCAACGCGGGCGCAAAATCTTGAGAACTACGCAAAAGCTTCAACAGAGGCCTCCCTTGTGGCTTTTGGGAGGGTTAGAGTTTAAAGTTTAGGGTTCAGGGTTTAGGGTTTAGGGCTTATAGGGCTTAGGGTGTAGGGTTTAGAGTTTAGAGTGTTCGGATCGTCGGGCGCTTTCGTCGGGCGTATGCATGGTTTTACCACCATCATTGTCCCAGCCGGGAGCGGAACGAGCGGTGGTGGGCCCGTGACCAACATAGTTGGCGCCAGGGTAGTCGCCGTGGTCTTGTCGCCGACGTAGCCATTGTCGGTGCCGAAGCCATAGTACCAGTCGCTGTCGTCGGTGGACCAGCCACACAGCCTTTCCACAGAAACACTGGCTGGGCTATGTTCTCCTCCTCCCACGAATGGGCCAGGCCTTGTGTCATCGGCTGACACATTTACATGGAGGTTGGGTGTATTAGGGTTCCCTGATTGGTACTTGAGGACTTGGGTTTAGGGATTAACTCTTAATCTCCGGTTTCCCTTGCCAAAAAGGCCCAGGAAAAGGCTCCTGGTTTAGAACAACCCATGCACCAGACCTCAGAATAACCTATAGAAAGGGTATACCAAGCGGCTTACAAAGGAACCGAAACCCAAAACAAAGGGAATAAGGGCCTACCCCGGATCCTAGCACCTAGTGCTTCAGTGTAGATCTTGGCCCATTCCATGAACCCTCAACAGCTTCCCAAACCCGAAAGCCCTTAAAGCCCCTAGCGTCCTTAGACCCCGAGACCCTACAGCCCCAAAGTCCTGAAGCTTTAGACACTCAAGCTCCTGAGCCCACAAACCCCTGAAGCTCTAAACCCCCACTCGAAACAGCCCTAAAGCCCTCGACGCTCCGTAACCTAAGCCCTAAGCCCTAAGCCCTAAACCCTAAACCCGAAAACCCTCAACCCTGCCTCCTTCTCCTGTAGGCTCCGGGAGCTGTGGAGCTCGCGAGCGAAAGCGCTTCCCCAAGTTTCCTGAACCTCGGGGCTTTCGGTGATCTTGATTATTGGGGGGGGGGGGGGGGGGGGGGGGTTGGCGTTTAGGGTTTGGGTTTTTGGGCTTTGGGGGCTTTGCTGGGTTCATGGATTGGGGTTTGAGGGTTTGATCCCTTCCCCCTAATATTAACCGGGGGCCCCCCCCTTAAACCCTTAAACATTCGAAAAGTGTTTTTATTATTAGGGGGTATTCTTATCGAAATGTCATAATTCATTAGACTTCAGGGTTACTCAAGCAATCAACTTAAGTAAGTATAGTGTAAACTGAAAGAGAGAAAGAGAGAGAGAGAGAGAGAGACAGAGAGACAGGGAGAGGGGGAGAGCTCAACTCTCGCAGCACAGGAGGGCTCAGACAGAGCCACAGGGTTGAGGGTAACAAGACAGCCAGGCAGGGAAGAGCTGGCAGAATTATCGTATGACTAGTGAGGTAGGCTGAGGAGAGCCAGGCTCACAGGCAGCCAGACAGGCAGCTCACCGACAGCATCGTGCTGCGAAAAGACTAGACTCTAAACCCTAAACCCTTAACCCTAAGCCCTAAACCCTAAACCCTAAACCCTAAACCCTTAACCCTAAGCCCTAAACCCTTAAGCCTAGACCCGCAACCCTAATTAAACCACCTCAGGGTTTTATTCGTGTTGAGGGGTTGGAGGCCTGAACCACCCCCCCCTCATTCGGAATAGGGTTTCAAAAGGCGGGCTCGGTTTCGGCAGGATTTTCCGGAAAGTGCTTTTTTGTTATTAGGGGGGGGCATTTAATAAAAGGGGGAAGGGAGTAGGGATCTTGGGGGTTGCGAGGTTATGTGTTTGTTCTGTTGTTGTCCATCTCTTACTTGCTTTTGTTGAGAAAAAATGGGGAATTGGGGCTCGAAAGATCATCTGGCAAGCAAGAATTTCTTGAACACTTCATACCCTAAACCCTAAACAGAGCGGCTCAGTTTCTTTGAAGAACTGGCCCGAACACCCCAAACCCGAACCCAGAGACTCCAAAACCCCTTAATTAAGGAATATACCTTAAATCATACTAGGGTTCTTATTAGACTTTAAGGGATATTCCCTAATTAAGGGGTTTTGGAGTCTCTGGGAAGCTCAGGATCTTTCCACCCCGAAAACAACCCGCCAAGCCCACAAGATGGAGGCCCCACTCTAGGGTTTAGGGTTTACGGTTTGAGGTTTAGGGTTTAGGGTTTAGGGTTTAGGGTTTAGGGTTTAGGGTTTAGGGTTTAGCAGCAAAATACCCTGAAGCCCAAGGTACCAAACACGTGCTCGGGCTCAGGAGTAGATCGGCGCTCCTGAATATGATACTGTGATACTAACGGCTCAAAAACTACACAAGGTTCTTTGCTTTATTCTGGCAGCAGAAACATGGGGACCTTATACACAAAAGCTCTAAACCCTAAAGCCCCTAAACCTAAACCCCAAAGCCCGAAAACACTGGAGCAGCTAAGCCCTCTAACCATAAGCACCTAGAGCACTAAAACTACCCGACAACCCTAAACCCTAGAACCCTGAAACTGCTTTAAAACCCTGGAATGCCCTTAAGCCCTAAACAACTAGAATCCAAAAACTACCAGAACTTAAAGGTCTAGGGCTACAAGTGCAGGTCGGCACAGGCCTAAGTCCTAAACCCTAAGCCGGCCTAAACCCTGAACCTTGAACCCTGAACCCTGAACCCTAAAGTCTAAACCCTAAACCCTAAACCCTAAACCCTAAACCCTAAACCCTAAACCCTAAACCCTAAACCCTAAATAAACCCTAAACCCTAAACCCTAAACCCTAAACCCTAAACCCTAAACCCTAAACCCTAAGCCCTAAACCCTAAACCCTAAACCCTAAACCCTAAAACCTAAACCCTAAACCCCAACTCTCCCGCCGCCCTAAAAAGCGGGCCTTGGCCAGGTCGGCGGAGTGGCTGTCGACCAGAGAGACCTCTTCCGGGGGGGGGGGGGGGGGGGCTAGCGATCCGAGGCATGTAGGGTTTAGGGTTTAGGGGCTTAGGGTTTAGGGTTTAGGGTTTGGGGTTTGGGTTTGGGGTCTAGGGTTCAGGGTTTAGGGCTTGGGGGTTTAGGGTTTAGGGTATGTCAGTCTATAAGGCTTATGAAGCAACGGACTCCTTGGGACATCTGAGCCCCCGCCTTCTCCTCGCAGAAGCGCGCATGCTCGCGGGAGGCCTCTCCGGATCTTCACACGCAGGGGATAGGATTAGGGGGACCCTCGGGGATATAGACCCTCTGATTCAGGTCCCTGTTTAAGAGAGCCAGAAGAAGGTTACCTTTTAAGGGTCCCCCTTATCCTACCTAGGAACATGCTAGGCAAGGAGTCATGGAACGATGGGTGGGGTTGAGGTTTTGCTGTAGGGTTTAATAGGGTATAGGTTCAGGGCTTAGGGTTTAGAATTTAAGGTTTGGGGTTTAGGGTCCAGGTTTGAAGGTTGAGGGTTTAGTCCAACGCACTCGGCGATGTTGAAGCGAAAACACATCGCCTGAAATTTGGCGGCTGGAGCCTGCCTCTAAACCCTAAGCCCTAAAACCCTAAACCCTAAACCCTAAACCCTAAACCCTAAACCCTAAACCCTAAACCCTAAACCCTAAACCCTAAACCCTAAACCCTAAACCCTAACAACAATCCCCTAAACCCTGAACCCCAAGTCTGAATGTCCTGCGTCACAATTGTCGACCATACAGGCGGCGAAGGCTTCGAGCCACATTGGTGCCAACGCAGAAGGACCATGGGTGCTTTCCTGGGCCCCAGTCTGGATGGTCGGCTCTTTCGTGGCTGGTATACTCCCCGGAAAGACGTTCTCTATAGCTTCGTGGAATTAGACACCAATTCGGTACAGTTCCCACTGGCAGGCACCACCCGTTGCTTCAGCAATTCCTCTCCAGGGCGTGATTCACGTTGACAGTCTCCACAGACTGGATGGGCAAATCCCGATTGCCACCCATTTGTTCTTTGATGGCTGTGCCATATCCGAACATACTCTGCGATAGCGCTGGGTTTTAGAGTCCCGGGTAGGGTTAGAACTACCTCAGATACGGCTTTAAGCAAGTATAACTACCGCTGCCCGAACCCTAATCCGCCCAGCTTGTTTTGCTTACCTGTAATCCACCAACTGCATGTCCTAGACTCAGACCCCCCTGTGAACCCTAAGTTTTGAACGAACGCATGCGCAAAACTGCTCATGAAACCCAGATTATTCCTGTTCAGCGCTTGGGGTGTAGGGTTCAACCGCAAATCCTGCACCCTGAACCATCCATGGCGTGGATGCCCGGCATTCAAACGACGTAGCGCCTGCACCCCTAAACCCGTAGCCCCTAAATCAGCACACACATTAAAGCAAAGGACCTCAACGAACCACCCTAAACCTGAAACACCAAGCCCTAGACCCTAACCCCTAAAACCCCAAGGCGTGAGCCCTCCAACCCCAAACCCTAAGCCCCAAACCGCTAAACCCTAAACACCCAAATCCTTAAAACACTAAACCTCTAACCCCTCACTAAACCCTAAACCCCAAACCTAAAACACCTAAACCCCTAAAACCTATATAGACGCTAAACCCTAAACCCTAGACCCTAAACCCGAAACCCCTAAACCCCCCAAAACCCATCCATAAATCCCCTCCCCCAAACATTAAACCCCCCTCCCTACCCCCTAGCATTAAATTCAGGGTTTTTTTGACGTTAACAAACCCTATCTTTAGGGTTTAGGGTTTAGGGTTTAGGGTTTAGGGTTACATTAAGTACCCCGCCATTATAGTTCTTTTCTGGGGGCCCACGGGACCTCATGGAGTCGGCGTTGGAGCTCGGCCTTTTGTGCCTCACCCTCGGAGAGAAAGGCGGCCTGGGTGTGGTTTAGGGTTTAGGGTTTAGGGTTTAGGGTTTAGGGTTTAGGGTTTAGGGTTTAGGGTTTAGGGTTTAGGGTTTAGGGTTTAGGGTTTAGGGTTTAGGGTTTGGGGTTTGGGGTTTGGGGTTTGAAGGTTGTGGGTTTAGGGTTTGAAGGTTGTGGGTTTAGGGTGGAGGATTTGCGGTTTCGGGTTGGGGGTGTTTGGGGCTCAGGGTTTTCGGGTGTCGGGGGTTTTAGGTTTAGGAGGGCTGTAAGAGCCTTCCGAGGTTAAAGGTTTATAAGGACGAGGGCTTGGGGGGGGTTCGTTGGGGCTGACAGTGGACGCTTGAGAAGCTTCCTCCTCCCTTTGCGCTTCTCAGCCAGATGAGCGGACCTGGCTTTCACCTTAGCGCCTAAACCCTAAACCCTAAACCCTGAACCCTAAACCCTAAACCCTAAACCCTAAACCCTAAACCGAGATCGCAGCAGCGCCCTTGGGCTTCTCTTCCACCTTCTTGCCCACATTGACACTTGCCGCGTGTGCCAAGCGGGTCCAGTGAAGTCTGGAATCACTTCTGGAACCAGTATGAGGGCCCCCTTCATTGTCCACGCTTGCTCAACCAGCTCTGGCGGAAGCACAGCATAAACGCTCGGAGAGTACAGTGCCAAAAGACTCGCCAGGTTTGGTTCTGCTGCGAAGGTAGTGTTTGGTGCAGAGTGAAAGCTTTGGGGTTTAGGGTTTAGGATTCTATATACATATATATCACGTTTTCAGGATGTATAAGGTGTGGGCCTGCAAAGACTGCTTACACTTTGGTGGTGTAGGGTATGAATAAGCACTCTGTCTTTTGCTGATTCCCTCACCTAAAGGATGTTTGGGGTTCAGAGATTCTGAAACTGGGCATCAGGAAAACCCTAAACCCTAAAGCCCCAAGGCGCTAGAAGCCCTCAAGTCCATTTCAACTATTTCAACGTTGGAAGCCTGAGTAACAGAGTTTAGGGTTTACGGTTTAGGGTTTAGGGCTTCCCTCAACCCCAAGACCTTTCCGAAGTTCAGAATGGTTCGCTGGTAGGGTTGCATTGAGATCTCGCAGGGTGGGTGTAATCTAAGTCTTTGGAACAACGGAAACGCAAGCTGTGGGGTTCAAGGATACTTGGGTTTTTGGATGAAAATTTAAGGGAGTTTGGTTGTGGGTTGAAAACTTCCACCCTTACCCCTAAACCTTTCAAACCCTAATCCTGAAGTCTAAACCCTAACCCCTAAACCGTAGCCCTAAACCCTAAACCCTAAACCCTAAACCCTAAACCCTAACAAACCCTAAACCCTAAACCCCACGCCCAAGCCCTTAAACCCCAAACCCTAAACCCTAAGCCCTAAATCCTGAACCCTAAGCCCTCAACCCTCATGGCGCCTTCTCCTGCTCCACTGCAGCGGCGGTCTCCTCCAGCCTTGTTTTAGGGTTTAGGGTTTATTAGGGTTCAGGGTTTATTATTTATTGGGTTTAGGGTTTTGGGTTTAGGGTTTAGGGCAACGACTAGGGGGAGGATTGTGCCGACTTTCTGAGGACGGCAAAGGTTGGGTGTGTGGCTACTTGAGGGCGGCGCGAGGGCACAACAGCACGGTTAAGTGTTTCGGGTTTAGGGTTGATAAGGATCCCAAATTGGATGTTTCCGACAAGAGGAGTACCCTTTTGGGGAGTACCTTTTGTATAGTGGATTCTGTTCTACTTGGGGTATAACAGGGGTACCTCTATTTTGGGAAATGCCCAAATCAAGGACAAAAGGGAGATCGGGTCATTCTAAGGTGCAGTGGACTGAAGGGTTCAGGTTTAGGGTTCAGGGTTTGGGTTTACTTGGAGGTTCCTAGGAACGTGTCGCTGGGGGTATAAGTATGACAGCTAGTGTTCCAACTGGCTTTAACCATTGAGCCTTCAAGTGAGATTGCGAGCAGTTAGTTGTGTTGCGGCCCCAGCACGAACTCCCATACCCTGAGCTTAGACCCGCAACCCCAAACCACTTGACCCCTTGTGAACCCTAGCTAGCCTACAGCCCTAAGAAACCCTAAGGTTTAGAGTTAATTAAGAGTATACCAGGAAACCCTCCAATAAACCCTGAACCCTAAACCCTAAACCCCAAACCCTAAACCCCAAGCCCCAAACCCTAAACTTAAACTTAAACCCTAAACCCTAAACCCTAAACCCTAAACCCTAAACCCTAAACCCTAAACCCTAAACCCTAAACCCTAAACCCTAAACCCTACAAGCAACAGCAAGCCCCAAAGCCCGGCAAAGCTCTCGCGGCCGCGGCGCGTGCGCTGCAGGGCCAGGCGGTCGACCGCGAGCTTCGAGGCCTCGGAGGCCTTCCAGGGAAGATGAGGGTTTAGGGTTTAGGGTTTAGGGTTTAGGGTTTAGGGTTTAGGGTTTAGGGTTTAGGGGTTTAGGGTTTAGGGTTTAGGGTTTAGGGTGTAGGGTTTAGGGTTTAGGGGTTTAGGGTTTAGGGTGTAGGGTTTAGGGTTTAGGGTTTAGGGTTTGAGGTTTAGGGTTTGGGGTTTAGGGTTTAGGGGTTTAGGGTTTGGGGTTTGAGGGTTTGAGGGTTTACGGGTTTTAGGGTTGAAGGTCCAGGGGTTTGAGGGTTTAAGGGTTGAAGGGTTTGAGGATTTAAGGGGGCTTAAGGGCTTGAGGGTTTAGGGTGTTGGGTGCAATTAGGGTCACCCTAAACTCTGAGCCCTAAACCCCTAGCCCAAACGCCGACCCCTGAACTCAACCACAACCATGCGTTTTGGGGTTTTTACGGTTAGGGAGCCTCAAGATAAGATCCTATGGCCCTCAACCCTAAACCTCAATCATAAGCACCCTAAACCGCACAGAGTGCTTGGATCTCGAGCCTCCTCTCCCCCTTCCCCCTCAAACCCTACAAAACCTGACCTTAAACCCTAAACCCCTAAATCCCTAATTAAAACCCTAAACCCCTAAGCCCTGAAGACGGCCTTCTCCTCCAACAGTCGACTGACCTCCTCGTGGCACTGGCGTCGGATCTCCGCCTGATGGCGAAGCGCTCAACGCGAAGTTAGGGTTTAGGGTTTAGGGTTTTAGGGTTTTAGGGTTTTAGGGTTTTAGGGTTTTAGGGTTTTAGGGTTTTAGGGTTTTAGGGTTTTAGGGTTTTAGGGTTCTAGGGTTTTAGGGGGTTTAGAGGCTTTGGAGGGTTGTGGCCGCCTTCTCATCCTCCAGAGATGCGGTGCGCATCATCAGCTCCTCATCGAACCGGGCCTTCGGGGGCTTCGGGGGGGCTGGGAAGTTGGGAGGGGGGGGGGGGGGGGGGGGCTTGGGTTTAGGGTTTAGGGTTTAGGGTTTAGGGTTTAGGGTTTAGGGTTTAGGGTTTAGGGTTTAGGGTTTAGGGTTTAGGGTTTAGGGTTTAGGGTTTAGGGTTTAGGGTTTAGGGTTTAGGGTTTCGGGTTATTAGGGTTATATTAGGGTTATATTAGGGTTATTAGGGTTATTAGGGTTAGTAGTAGGGTTGTTAGGGTGATTAGGGTTATGAGGGTTGTTAGGGTTATTAGGGTTAGTAGTAGGGTTATTAGGGTGATTAGGGTTATTAGGGTTATTAGGGTTCTTCGGGTCATTAGGGTTATTAGGGTTATTCGGGTTATTCGGGTTACTAGGGTTATTAGGGTCATTAGGGTTATTAGGGTTTGGGGTTTGGGGCTCGGGTTTGGAGTTTGGGGTTTAGGGTTTAGGGTTGGAGGGTTAGGGGGGGGGGGTGGGGGGGTTAGGGGGGGGCTGGGGGGGTGGGGGTGATGCCTTCCTCAAATGACTGTGGGGCTGAAAAGGGTTTAGGGTTTAGGGCTTAGGGTTCAGGGTTTAGGGTTTAGGGCTTAGGGTTTAGGGTTTAGGGTTTAAGGTTTAGTTTAGGGCTTAGGGTTCCACAGGGGTCTGCAGGGTTGAAGGTTTTTCGGGTGCAGAGTTTGGGGTGCAGGGTTCTAGGTTTCCAGGCGTTAGAGATAACATCCAAACTCAGCGCAATCTCGAACACTGCGGGCAGAAAGCGCCCCTAAACCCTAAGCTACCCTAAACCCCCTCGAGCCCCTAAAACTCCCCAAAGCCTCCAAGACCCCTAACACCCCCAAAGCCCCCCAAGCCTCCTAAACCCCCTAAACCCG